GAGGGTGGAGTCTGCGGGTGAGGGGCCAACGCTATGGGGCCAGCCGCCCAGAAGGGTCAAGTTTTCAGAAACCAACCTTTCACTCTAACCAACATTCCTCTCATCTAGAATAATGGCTATTGATATTTTTATATGCACCACACACCACCTCAGCTCCTCTCACACCAGACCTGTGATGTGGGTACAAATTTTGTTGCCATTTTACAGATGAAGAAACTGAGGCACAGGGGAATGAAATGACTCGCCCAAGGCCACCAATTAGAAAGAGGCAGAGCCCAAATCCAAACCCCAGGGAGTGTGACATAGCATCATCACCCCATATTATGCTGTAGGTGTTCTGTTCATATTTGTTGAATGAGTGAAAAAAGAATGAACATTCTCCAAGGGCCCAGCCTAGGGCTTGGCAGTGTGCAGGGAGTGTTTGGGAATCGAACAAGTGAGTGAGGCCCTCACTGAGAAGGGGCACACAGGTGGAGGAGAACAGTTCAATCTTTTCACCGCAGTCCTGTGAGGGGCTGTTCCATTTTACATATGAGAAAACTGAGACTCAGTTTGGTTAAGCGAGCAACCCAAGGCCACACAGCTAGAAAGTGGCAGAGCTAGGGTTGAATGAAGGGAATTTGAGCTCAGAACTTTACCTACCTACCATGGTGTGGGACTCAACGGAAATCTGTGGAGAGAATGAATCAATAAAGAAATCAAAGGCTTTATGGAACCAGTGAGTGAAAGTGTGAATAAGCAAATGTGTTTCCAGGTTGGCAGCCCTGCTCAGTCAGGACTGTGCCCCAGCGCCTTACAGTGCCTGGTACCTAATAGGTGGGAAAGAATTGTAGGGGGAGGAAGGGAGGGAGGCATGAAAAGGCTGCCCTGCCCTCTCTTCTCTGGCTCCCTGGGGCCAGCAGCCCCGCTTCAAGCCCTTCACGGAAGCACCCCAGGGGGCCCCCACCCAGTCCTGTGAGGGGCTATTCAACCAGCCTCCATGGAAGGGTGCCCCTGGGTCCAGCCCTGGGGGGCCTCAGAGCTCAGGACTGGCCTGGCTGGCTGCTCACAGTGAGCCCCAGGCCAGCTGTGCTGACTGTAAACAGCACCCCCTCCCTTGCCCAGGAACTCCTGCCTCCGGCATCAACCCAGTGGACTCAAGTCACCATGACTCTCAGGACCCACTCTTGTTTGGTGGGGGGAGGGTCAGGGGTGGGGGAAGGGTAGGGTAGTGGAAGCTTGGTTTTCCTTGTTCAGAAAACAAGCACCGTGCTTTTAACAGCTTAGCATTTATTGAACTTCTACTAAAATACCATCTCTCTTCAGTTTCTCACAGCAGCCCTGGGAGGGTGGTAGCTGATCTTTATTTACAGATGAGGAAACTAAGGCTTCCAGGGGCTTCTTTCCTCCACCTCCACTACCGGGGCCCAGAGAGTTCTTCCAAGAAAGAACCTACCTTTTAGCTGTGCCTTCACCTGCTTTTCCTGGAGAGAAGACCCCAGGTACAGGACAACTTCTCTGCCCTCCCAGCCCAAGTCTTGGTCTTAATGAAGCCAGGGACAGTGTGAGTGAGGTGGGATGTCACGCTCCAAATCTAAATTAAATAACAGGGCTCTAAAGGAGCCCTTCTGGGTGTTTCTAATGCATGGCATATGTGAGCTACAGTTAACAACCATGTGCCAAGCCCTTTAAGGGCATTCAAAACAACCTTAGCAGGTGGATCCTATTAGCACCATTTTACAGATAGGGCAACTGAGGCACAGAGAGATTAAGTTACTTACTCAAGATCACACAGCTCAAAAGCGGCAGAGTCAAGATATGAACCCAGGTGGTGTGGCTCCAGAGTCCACAATTGACCCTCCACTCTTCACTGAGGCTTGTTAGCTTTTAAAAAAATTCTACAAACATTTGCTTAGCTCCTTTCCCATGCCAGGCTTGGAAGCAAGGGGACAGAATAAGGCATCTTCTGCACTGCAGAACCAGCATCCAAGGCAGATGGAAGTGGATGGAGGCAGGAGAGGGAGGGGTACAATGTGGGAGGTGGGTCAGGGAAGGGTGGCCATGGTGATGGGGAGGGGGTTCATCTGGTAGAGAAGCTCTGGTCTGAAGTTCTGGAAGCCTGGGTCTCCATCTCATCTCAACCACTGCCTGTGTGACCCTGGGCAAGGCCCTAACCCTCCCTGGGCCGAGGTCTCCCCATCAAACCTTGAGGATTTTGGTGTGACTCCCAGCAGAGACAGGGCTGGCCCATCAAGCCTCAGGGTCTTCCCTCAGCCCTCACACATGTGCTCCTTTTGTCTGAGTTTGAGTTTCTTCCTTTCTTTTCTTTTCTTTTTTTTAAATGGAGGGACTGGGGATTGAACCCAGGAACTCATACATGCTACGCATATTCTCTACCACTGAGCTATGCCTACCCCCCAGTTTGAATTTCTTTTAAAAGTAAGTTTTGGGCCTAGGGTTCTTGGGCTCTGTGACTCTGAGCTGGTAGCTCTGGAGGACTTTCTGGAGGAGGAAGTTTCTGGCCTGGGCTAGGATTTTTAAAGTGATGGAACCTCCTAGGTCCTCCACACCCCTCTGGCACCACCTGAGCTGGACCTTCTCATGGATCTCTAACCTTGGAAGGCTGTGTCTTTTCAATCTTCCCTGCCTCCTGCCCATGCCCACCTCAAAAGCAAAGGAGGTAGGAACTCCCCTTTCTTGTACAAGATGGGGACAGGGGAGGTGCCTCTGCCCTTTGGATTTAGAGGACTTTTAGAGCCATACATAAGGATTCAAATTCTAGCCATGTCACTTCCAAGCTGGGTGACCTTGGGCCAGTTGCTTGACCTCTCTGAACCACCTATCGTCCTTGCTACCCACCTTGTGGGACTGTTGTGGGGATGAGCAGCATGTTTGGCACACGCTAGGTGCTCAATGAATGGGGCTGCTATAATTATTCTTCCCGGGGTGGGGGCGGGGCACAGGGCCAGCCGCCAGGCCTATATTTAGCCTGGAAAGGGTAGGGGGTGAGTGGAGACAAAGTGCAGCGGCGGCAGCCAGCCAGGCTGGGAGCCAGTGGGTGGAGCCAACGAAAGACAGCCTGCAGGTCCCACCTCCCCGCCACCCCCCTTTCGCAGGGTCACCTTGACAGGAGGGCTCCTTCAGTCTAGACGCGCCCACTCCCAACCCAGCCCCCCTACCCCTGGCTCTGTCTGCTGTGCAGCCCTCATCTCCTAAAACCGAGCCCTGGAGAGGGGGCTGCTGCAGCCTGCCGGGTGGGGAGTATTCGACCCCACTGGCCACTCGGTGAGCCTCCCTCTGTCCCAGCCAGGGCCGCCCGCGGCCCAGCTTCCCCGGCTCAGCGGCTCAAAGAGGGACGCTGCTGGGGTTGGGATGCCAAGGTGAGCCTGACCCCAAGTAGGGGTCGAAGGAGCAAGGAAAGCTGGTCCTGCTCCTCCCCCCCAACTCCACGCAGATGAGTGTCTGGCTGCAAATAGCCCAGTGGAATCAGTGAGTCACAGAGGCTGGAAATAACGAGCCCCCTCAAGCCCTTGCCTCCTTTGGTGTGTGGCTACACTGGGGAGCGCCTGGCACTCTGATTTCAGTAGCACCTGATGGTGTGTTTGGGGTGTGTGTGTAGGTACCTCCAAGAGCACTCCCTGAACTAGTCAGCTGCCCAGCCAGATTCCAGCCAGGCTTTGCCCCTGGGGCTGTGTGATCCTAGGAGAGTCACTCAGCCTCTCTGGTCCTCAGAACTCATCTGGTACAAGATAGGCTTCAAGAGGGCAGGCAACCCAGTGCAGCTGGCCCATCTTTTGGTGTCCCTGTGCCTGGGACAATGCCTGGCAGGTGGTAGCGGGGGCTGGCGGTTGGAAGAGAAGGTGATGCAAAGTTTTTCATGGACATAGTTCCCAGATTACTGCCCAACTGGGTCTGGGAGCCAAGGGAGGTGACCAGTGGACACCCACATTTCTGTGAGGTCTTGAGCTACCACCTCTGCCCCTAAATCTCAAGAAAGGAGTGTATGTTTACCCTGGGTCTTCCCACTCCCGCTGCCTCCAGCCCCACCCCAAGTCTGAGAACTTCAGGCAGGTGATCTCCAGAAGTCTGTGATTCTGTTGTTTGTTGTGTGTGCAGTGTACAATGCCAGGACTCTCCCATGCCCCCCACCAGTCATCCCCTAAGGGCCACAGAATGGCATAGGTGAGAGGCCACCTTGCAGAACACTGACCCAGGATGTGCCAGGGGTGAAGATGGCCCTGCCACTTGCCCCAGGGGCCCTGACTAACTGTGAACCACCTTTCCCCCTCACCCTGCTTCTGTATGACACTGAGCCAGAGTCATGGGGGCAGCTGGGGCTTCCCAGAATGAAGGCTGACTGGAGGCCCTTGCCCTGGACTGGGAAGTAGGAGGGAGCTGGGTTGGAGGCTTCCCCCCTCTGATGTAGGCGTTCTCTGGCAGGAAGATGCGTGGGCAAGATGCACAGGCCAAGGGAGGCAGAATGAGGGGAACTACTCCCCACTGCACAGAGGGGTCAGGGAGCGGTTTGAGAGCCACTTCTAATATCCTGGGTTCAAATGCAACAATCAGTAGTTAAGCTGGGCATTCAACTGCTCAGAGACTCAGTGCCCCCACTGATGAAAATGAAGATTGTAAATCTGAGTTTAGAATGTTCTGAATTCCGCTTCAACTACTGGTAATGCTTAGTATTTGAAGTACAAGGATGTGTGTGTGTGTGTGTGTGTGTGTCTGCATGTGTGGGTGTCTGTGTGTGTTTGGTATACACACAGCAAGGCTATAGATTCACAGATTAAAGAGGGGAAGGATGGGGGAGGTGACTGGCCACAGGGGAAGGTTGGCAAGAAGCTGGGATCCAACCCTTAGGACCCAAAGCCCCATCCACGCTCTGCCTTTTGGGTTACCTGTCTGCAGTGGAGGCAGCCCTGGGAACTCAGGCCTCTGGGTGGCAGGGAGGTGGACCCACCCTACCCCTCGGCCCAGCATCACCTGGGGGCATGAGCAGGTAACAGACGGCTCACACAGTTTATCACCAACCTGCTGTATTGGAAAAATCCCATCTATATACAGACACAAGGTAGCTCTGCCCTGGCACAGCTGGCAGGATGGGGCATCTTGTGGGCAGGTGGCCTGGTGGCTGGTTTGGGGCCTGGAGGATGGCAGAGGGGAGGCTGACCATCACAGCTATCTCCTTCTGGCCTCCCTGGGCCCCTGGGCAGTTCAGTTTAGATAGGCACCTCTCCCTCTGATGGCCCTCTGCTTCTCCCACTCCCCTTGGCTAAGGGGGTCCCAGGTCCCCAGTGCCCCTGCCCCTGCCCTGCAGAGACTCCAGAGATCAAAGAATTTTGTCTGTCTGTCTGTCTGTCCTGCAGATTGTTTGCCCAGAGATCCTACCTGTCCCCATCCCCCTTCCCCAGCGTGGGTTCTCCGGGATCTCCCTTTCCTCAATCCAAGCCCTTTATTCTGGATTGACTGGGGCCACGGGTGAGGCAAGGGGGTCCCTGACCTGCCCTGAGTAGAGCAGAAGGCCTCATTTGGTGGTGACCCACCTGGGGTCTGGGGAGGGGGTGTCAGGGCCTGGAACCTGGGCTGAGATGTCTTGGATGTTGTTGTGAGGGGGTAAGGAAAACCTCTCTGGCGGGCCAGGGTGGAGAAGATGGGTGAGTTGGGGGAGGGCAGGGGAAGGGGGAGGCCCTCAGATTTTTATCTCCGTCCGGAAGGTCTGCTGGACATGCTCTGTGTGTGGTTGGCGCCGAGCCCGGATGGTGAGGCTGCCGTCCTCCCTCAGAGCCGAGGTCACCGATGTGGGGTCCACGTCCTCTGGCAGTTGGCACTTGTGAGCAAAGGTGTTCATGACGGTGCCGTCAGCTGCCAGCTGGGGAAGGCGTGGTGGGTCAGGGCAGGCTGCCTCCCACCCTTGTCCTGCTCACGTCAAGCCACAGTCCCCACTCCCCAGTCTAACCCCAGGTGGGCCCCCACACGCTGAGGGGTTCTGCTCTCAGGTACAGAGGCCTGGCAGTGGTGGCCGGGGGCCGGGGGCTATGCAGGAACAGGTGCAGAGGTGCTTAGAGGAGCTCCGGTGGTTCTAGTGGGTAGGCTAGGGTTTGGGGGGGCAGAGCTCAGAGAGGGAAGAGGCTCAGTGGCAGAATCTGGGGCTTCTGAGCAACAAGAAGGTGGCACAGAGCAGAGCCGAGTCCTCCTGGGTACCCAGACACGCGGGTGTCCACTGCTGGGGCTGGGCCAGTGGCCCCTCCCCCGCCACTCAGCCAGCACAGAGTGTCCAGACAAGCTGGGGCGGCTGAGTCACTGGGTGGGGGGGGGGGTGGCAGGGCCGGCACGTGCTGCCCTCTGGTCCTGCTGCCCACAGTCCTTGGCTTCCCTGATGGGGGTGCCCAGCCATCCAACCTCCCATGCTCAGTGGAGGAAGCCGGACCGTGGCGGATCCAGAGGGAGCCTTGGGCAGACCCTCTTCTCTAAGGAGCAGCTGTGGCACTGGCCCCCTCTGGGGCAGCATCCCTGTTCAGCCAGGGCCACACCCTCCTCCAGGGTGCAGGCCTTCTGGGAGCTGAGACTCAGAGACTCTAGTGACCCAGTGACCCTGAGCCCCGTGGGTGGAGGGAATGCGGGGTTTGGAATGTGTGTGACCCTGGACTTCAGGGCCTCTGCCCAGGCTTGGGCCCAATTCGAGGGTCTCAAGATATGGGCTGGGCCTCTGGGTCTGGGAGGGAAGAGGACTTGAGGCATGTCATGGGGGGGAGCTCCTCCTCCCAGCTGCCCAGGTGAGCCCCCCCACCCACATTCCTGCCTCCCTCAGCCACTCTCTCCCTCCTCTCATCCCGTCTTCTCACCTCACCTCCTCAGGTGCCCCCGCCCGCCTCCCTCCACCCCTCCTCCAATCCCGGGTGGCTTTCTCAGCTGCCCGTGGCTCCTGAAGAAAAGATCTTGGAGCCTCGGGGCAGAGACAGGCAGTAATGGGGCTCCTGTGGCCCATGGGCTACAGGAGCAGGAGCTCCAGTTTGTCCCGGGGGGTTGAGGGTACACTGGTGTGGCGTCCCAGGATGGGGCATGGGAGTGGGGACTCTGGGCTGAGGGTACAGGTGTGGAGCCCAGGGTCAGGGCGGGGGACAGGCTCACCTTCTCAGCTCGCACTTCGATGTGGTTGTTGGAGGTGGTGACGATGATGTCCTCAGGGGAGAAGTCACTCACGTCCACTGCAAACTCATAGGCATCTCCCAGGGTCTTGATGTTGCCCGGCCCCCCGGGACGGGCTGTGGGGAGGGCTGCCATGAGCTGAGCATAGGGCAGGGTTATACCCAGAACCCAGGTTTCCGGCTCCTTCTCCTGGGAGAAGGGGCGGCCCCCCAGACCTGACCTCCCCCTCAGCTGTTGCTCCTAAACCACCCTGCCCCCTCCTCCTCGCTTCTTGCAGCCCACCTTTATCATCATCCAGCCTCACCCACCGGCACAGAGGTGGATAGATCCTCCCTGGCCCCACGTACCAGCCTCTGACACGGTAGGGACCCGCCCCAGGCCTGGAGTGGGGAATGCGTCCAGCCCCCGACCCGTGTAGCTCTCCAGGGCTCCAGTTAAGACCTGGCCACAGGCCTAATGTGGCCCTTGGTGCCACAGTCGACCCCCAGGCCAGAACTGTTCTTTGGAGGCCCGCCTGTTCTCACAGCCACATCTGTCTCTGTGGCCACATCTGTCCTGGTGGCCACACGTGGCTGCAGCTGTACAGCACCTGTTCCTGGCAGCTAGGGAGCCGCAGCCGTGTTGGGTGGTGGCCTGGCAGCAGTGTCAGCAGGTGTCCCCTCCCTGTGCACCTCCCCTCCCCATGAACCCCCGAGCACTTGCCTGGGAAGGCCAGGGGCTCCGAGTGGGGCCGCATGAAGCTGCCAAAATCCTCGGAAAACATGCTCAAGGCCTTCTCCATGGGTGGGTCCTGGGCCGGGAGGGCGCGGGAGGCCGAGGAGGAGGCCGAGGAGGACGAGGAGGAGGAGGAGGAATGGAAGCTTCTCTCCGCTCTGAAGGTGGAGGATGTCCTGTGGCTCATCCACGGCGGGCAGCCGGGCCCTGGCCGGCGGGCAGGGGCAGACAGGAGAGGGTGTGGGCAGCAGCCCTGGGGGAGTGTGCCGGGCCCCGACTGCCGGCGCTTTATAAGGCCCGGCCGTCCCTGGGCGCGGGGCCAGCCCCTTGTCTACTAGCTAAATTTAGTCCTCTCCATGGCCCAGAGGGGGCTGGAAGTCTTCTCCCGTGAGACGGCCCTGCTGACAGCCCAACACAGGCAGGCCGAGCTCACCTCCCAGCATTCCAGGCCGATAACTCCCAGCCCCGAGGCCTCCGCACTGCAATAGGCTGGGGGCCCATCATGTCCCCTTGCCCTCAGACCCCTATGCCCACCCCAGGACCTTGTGCCTGTGGTGTTCCTATGTCTCTGTCTCCCCCATCAGCCCGAGGCTAAGGACTGTGCCACCCCGTCAGATTGCAAGCTCCTTGAGGTCAGGGTTTTCTCTCTCTCCTGTCCCCTCTCCCCTGAAGTTCCAGCCCTTGGTAAGAGGGACCTGGGTGGTGAGTGATCAGGAGGCGCAAGCCCCCTAGCTCTGGGGAGGGCAGGGGATGCAAGGTCAAGAGGTCGGTAGTTTGGGGAGGACCCCCACCTGCTGGACCCCTCCGTGAGGTGAGGGGTTCCTTCCCTTAGAGCAGATAATGTTCACAGCCATCTCTTAGGAAGGACTGAGACAGCCCTGGAAGGGGGGACAGAATGTGCAGCTGTTCACCTGCCAGCTCCCACAGGGAACCCAGATTTCATGCTTGCCTTCCCACTGACTCTGGAACATTTGGGGACCCAAGAGGAGAAAGCTGAGGCCAGGCTGGGGGTTGGGATTGGACTCAGGGGAAGAGAGCAGCTCATTTAGTAATGGTCCTTAACAATATAGAAGGTTATGTTCCCAGAAACCGTCTGCTTCACCCGGCTCAAAGGAGATGCCGGGACGGCCGCGGGCAGGGTTTCAGTTAGAGGTAAAGGAGAATTCCACGAGACAGTTGTTCTAGCTCTGACTTCTGAGGCGCCTGCAGGGCACAGGCTCCCGGCTGTGAGCTTTCCAGCATGGCCTCATTTGATCCCCACACGGCTGGGAAGGAGATAGTAATCCCATTTTAGAGACAGAGAAATGGAGCCTCACAGAGAGCCTGGGGCTGGCACGTGTGTAAGTCGCGGAGCTGGGATTGGAACCCAGATGGGTCTCATCTAAACCCTCCAGGGGGCCAGGATGACCTGAACATTCGTGGAAGGAGACAGGTTGGCCCAGAACACCCTGAGGAGCCCCTCTCTGCCCACCCACGGCTCAGCAGAGCCAGGACTGACATCCTGCAGGACCAGGAGGTGAAGCAGGGCAAGGCCATTCTGAGAGGCTCGCGGGCCCCCTGCTGCCCAGGTTGCAGTGTGGGGCCTCTGCTCTCCACTCCAGACCCTGCCCTTCCTACCCAGATCAGCTCTGGTTCCTCCTCCCCCATGGAGGCTTCTCTGATGGCTGCAGCCCACACAAGGGGTCCTGCCCAGATGCCTGCTGTACTGACTGTCTTTGCCCCCCACCCCCAGAGTGTGATGTGGTCTTCCTGTGTCCTCTGCTGTGTCCTCTCTCCCCTGTCAGAGTGGCAGCTCCCCTGGGGCAGGGGTTCGCCTGTCTCCCCATTAGATTGGGGTCTTCTGAAGGTGGGGACTGTTTCCCTTTCCTCTGGCTCCCACAGAACTTCATACTTGGGGGGCTCCATTTGCAGAGGTGATCACTGGTCCTGGTGGTCCATAAACTGGGGCCAGGGTGGTGGCTGGAGCAAGAGGGGCTGTCTCTCCAGTGGATATTCCTGCCTGGCTTGTGTCATACATCCTGACCGAGGGGGTTCTAGTAGGACTGCCGGGAAGTTACCAGCACTGAGAAGAGACGGAAAGAAGGTGGGGGTGGGGGGTGGGGGGCCCAGAAGCCTGCCACCCGCCAGGGAAACAGGAGCCAGTGGCTAAATGCAGACACACTGTCATGGTGCTGAGAGCCTGAGTCACTGCTCCTGGACGTCAGATCTCATTACCCACCCCCGCCCACCATCCCTGCCCCCCTTCTCTCCATCCCTGAGGCGACACCCACACATGTACTGCATCCACTGGCTTCAGTGGCCAAGAGGGACCCTGAAAGGTCATCAAGGCCATTCCCCTGTCTCTGTGCATGTCTCTCCCTTCAGATCCCTGGGCAGAAGGTGCTTCAGAGATGACCCAATGCCTTGAACCTCAGACCTAGGGGCATCCCAGTCACTTGAAGGAACTTTTAACAAACACAGACTTTTCCCATGTACCCCAAGATTCTGATTTGGGGTCTTGGGAAAGGACCAGGAATCTGCTCCCATCAGCCCCTCTTCTCAGCCAGCCCACAGGCTGGTGCTAGGAACCACTCATCACTCAGCAGGTATCACTGCTCTCACCCTCCACTGCTTGATGCAGAAGAGGGAGAAGTTGGGGGCTGGCAGGTGGGGGAAACGGCTTTGGTAGGGACTTGCCACCAGCACCGGGTCCCTATGCTGCCCTCTTCCCAATTTCCGGGTGCTCCCTGTGCTGGGGGGTGAGGGTGTGGACATGCGGTGCTGAGTGGCTGGCCAGTGCCGGCTGTGAATTGTAGCCAGCTGCCTGAGACCAGAGATTGGGGTTTGGGATGTCAACAGGATGGTCGGTTATCCTGTTACTGTACACAGGTTGGTGTAGCCAAGGCAACAGTGGGCCCAGGTCCATGCGCAGCAGCAAGCCCCCACCCCACCTCTCACAACACACACATGCTCCTATTTTGTTTGGGTTTTATTTATATCTTTTTTTTTTTTCCACATGCTCCTAGTTTGGATTGACATGGCCTGACATCTAGAGGCAGAGGATGGCTCAGGGTCTCGGGATTTTAACAAGTCATTGAAGGGCCACAGTGATTTTCAGAAGTGGGGCTTTGTCTGGAAGTCAAGGGAGGGGGTTGTCCTAGATCTCTTACCGAAATCTTCTAAAAGTGACATCAGATACAAATCCTCTGCTTGTGCCCAAACCTTGGTCCTGAATGATTAAGCCACAGGAGCTGGAGGAGCTCCGGGCAGAGGAAGAGCCACAGAGTCTAGGTCTAGGTTCAGCCTTTGCTGTGTGACCTTAGCTGAGCGACTGCACCTCTCTGATCCTCCATGTATCATCTGCAAAATGACACTGCTGTCCCCGATCCACAAGGGTTCAGGGAGGATGAACTGGATACCAGGTGTTATGTGCACATTCCTACCCTCTGTTGAGGTGGGACAAGTTTGTGGCATTTACCCAGAAGCCCCAAGCAATGCCACTGCCTCTTGGGTGCTGTGATTTGAGAGGCAGTTTTCTGAGATTGGAAGGTCTGGACATGAGGATCTAGTCCAAGTTCCTCTGCAGCCCCAGCAATTCCCTGCCCCTACTCAAGCTTGTCTGCCTCCACTCCGCCTCTGAGCAAGGCAGGTCATTGAGGCAGGACTTGGAGTGGGGTGCAGGCTTTGGAACCAGGCAAGCCTGGGTGGAAATTTCAGCTTTGTCCCTCGGCCTCTGTGACCTTGGGCAAGCAGTTTCACCTCTCTGAGACTCTGTTTCTTTAAAATGGGCTAATACTGCCTGCCTCGTTGGGTTCCCATGAGCACGCACCGATTTGGAGGATGGTTGAGCACAGTGCCTGGCATGTAACAAGGGTGTGGTTATGGCAGTGCTCCTCGCCTATGAGTCCTTCCTCCCATTCCATTGGTTTCTCCCTCTCACTTCTCTGCTTTTTTAAACCTCTCCCATGCCCAGCTCTGAGAAGCTGGGGCCCTGACCTTCAGCCTCTGCAGGTGACCCCTCACCATCCTGCTGTGTCATGAGCTTCCCCCTCCCAGGGCCTGTGTACGCCGGCCTGCAGCTCAGTTGGGTACCACCTGCCTCTGTGTGGCTCTGGTGGGTCGGGGGAGCCCCTGCCCCCGATCCCTCTTGGCTGCTCTGACCTGCAACACTCAGCTGGCTGGGGCAGTTCCAGTTGGTTTGTCAAGGACATTCTTAATGGCCAGGGTGAACCCTGGCGGGGCGCAGAGGAGGGGGGGCCAGGATGTTGATTGGTGGAGCACACACCTGTCCAGGTGCACCTGAGCTGCTAGCAAAGGCATCTCTGTCAGAGGAGGGCTGGCTGAGGCCACAGCAGAGCGGACTGACGGAGGTGAGGGGCCGCCGGGTGCAGAGCTTGGGCAGGGACTTGGATGGAACCTGCCTGGGCCAGGGCAGGGCAGGCAGGACAGGAGCAGGAGGCTAGGGGGCAGGGAGCCAGCATCTCCTTTGCCTCACAGGCTCTCCTCCTGACGCTGGGGTTTTCCTGACTCTGTGGCCTGATCTGAGGGAGAGGGGGGTCCGGGATGGGCATGGGGAGTCAGAGCAGTCCATAGGGACCCCACAGGGAGACAGTGACGCCCCTGGGCAGAGACTGCTCTGAGCAGTGGAAACAGCCAAGCTTCCTGGGAGGGTAGGAACAGTGGTCACAGGAGGGGGAAGGGGGCTCTGAGCCTGGGGTCCTTCCTTGATCAGTCTGCTGCTGAACATGGAGGGCACACTAGGAACCCCCCACTCTGACCCCGAATATTAGCACTCTCGGTGATACCCCCTCAGGGATGAGGACACACCAGACCTCTGATCCCTCCTGAAAATGCCACCTTTCCTTTCTATCCAGGAAGTAGATTTTGGAAGGGCCCAGTGGGTGTTGGAGCAGCTCACCAAGGATCCACCTGCCTGTCCACTCCCTTAGGGACCCGATGGAGGAGCTGGTAGGGCTTCGTGAGGGCTCTTCAGGGAAGCCTGTGACTCTGCAGGAGTTATGGGGCCCGTGTCCCCGCATCCGCCAAGGCATCCGAGGTGAGACTTAGGGTCCCTTCCTCTCCCTGTCGAAGACCCCTTGGGCCGTTGCCCTACCCAGGCCTCCCTCCCCACCCACCTTGGAGCCCAAGAGCTGCCCTCCCCCTTCCACTTGCCCAGAGTCTCCTGGGTGGCAGAGAGGGAGGGGACCTGTCTGCCTGTCTATGGCTCAGACGGGATAGTGTCTGCCCTCTGCCTTTTGGGAAGGCAGCCCCTAGGCCTGATTACGGTGCCAGGGAAC